TATACATACATACATACATACATACATACATACATACATACATACATATGTATATATATATATGCGTACAATACCTTGCAAGACCCGAGTAGCAATCACCCACCAGTCGGCACGCCAAGGCATACTCCTTAGCAAGCGTGGAGGATGTAGGCAACGATTGCCAAGCCTTTTCACTCAGATGTGCATGTCGTTCGAAGTAATCAACAGCCTCTGCAAAATTCTCTTTAGCTCTGAGTAGTTCGCCTATCTCAAAACACAGCTCTGCCTCACGGGTCTCTTTCCCCGCCGCCCGTGCAGATGCAATGCGTTTGCGTAGACTGTCTATCTTTGCTGAACTCATGGCGTTTAACGTTGCGCTGACACGAGAGTCACAGAGCGTTAGAAAACTTTATCTCTCGCACACGTGCATATTATGAGGGTTGGGCGTGCGTGCGACTGTCTGGTCCTGACCCCTTTCGCACGGCATTGCTTGTATTTAAATAACGTATTGCTGAGTGGACCCTATGGCTATGTATGTGAAATTCTTTGTCTTTCTAACCTGTTGCAAAGACGTACGATCGCGTTTCAATGCAACCCTTGACGTCCACAAGCCGTTGTCAGTAGGGTCTTAAACAGGCAGCGCAACTAACCTTACACAGCTGCACTAGTAGTTGTGTGCACTTCGAGTGACACTAACCTTCACAGTGTGACAGTGCGGCAATACATACAGCACACGATAGTATTAGTACTGACGGTCTACTAGATATAAAACTTTTATATCTTTTGTTTAATATATCTCTACCAAGAGACCTATGTAAATAAAATTTGTAAATAGTACACGGTGACAGCACGTAGCCGTAGCCCGTAGGTTTCTTTTTCAACAAAAAATAAATACGAAATGACAAATAAATCTGACGAACAATAGGAAAGCCCGCCAAAAAACGCACAGCACAAAGCCCGCCAGAATAATAGCCACTTGCACTATTTTAAAGTTTAGGGTTTTGTGTTCTTTCTTTGTTTTATTATGTAGGAGGAGGAGGAGGCAATACCGCTATGGCTATGATAAAAAAGCATAGGACCAGAGCAATTGAACAAGTAAGCACGGTACTATAAATAAGTATGCCGTATTGCACAAAATACGAGTTTTTCGCTTCGTTCTTATCCCAGAATCTTTTCACCAATATGGCTATGCATTTCTCAGGAGCAACAATAGAACACAAGCCCAGGATTTTAGTCTTGTACGGATCTTTGCGCGAGAGTAGTTTTGCCCGTAAATGTGCGTATGAGACTGCACGTTTGCTTAAGCGCATGGATTGTGATGTACGTATCTTCAACCCGAGTAGGCTGCCTGTGCGTGATCCTACCCTAGAGAAATTTCTCAAGGTAGGTGGCATCGTAATGTCTCTCTCGTACTAATTGCAGAAACTCTCAAGGTAGGTGGCATCGTAATGTCTCTCTCGTACTGATTACAGAAACTCGGTGGTATTCGCATGGTTTTATGTGTTTTTGTGTACATACAGTTCTACTATTCGGTTTTAAATAAGAAACACATGCATTTTGTATACGAAGTAGTATCCCTGATGCTTATCAGATTATAGCTGTTTATTTCTAGCTGCATCACCTACAATAAAGTCTGTCTGCTAACTACGGATCGTATTTCTCATCCAGGTTCCGGAGCTCAGAGCGTTGACACAGTGTAGTGAAGGACGTATCTGGGGTTCGCCCGAGATGCACGGAGCGATTACCGTAAGTACCTATAAATACTTGTTCACGTTTCCTTCCCTATGAATTTGCACACCCATGCACAATTTAAACCATGCAATGGCTACGGGAAATCATATGACGAAGTCCATTTTTCCCATCGAAGCGTTAGTAACAAAGTTCATATGTAATGTGCCGTTTGCTATCTGTGACTGTGAAATCTATGACCCAGCGAATTTTAATTTTAATTCATTAGATGACATCCAATTGATGCCTGTGTTACTATCGGAAGTAGTATCAGCAGTGGTGTACATCACTCAATCTCCTTCGATTATATTGTGTATATTTACTCTCGCGTGAGTAGCTACACTATATGCCGAACATACTGGTGAGAGGTTCTACATCTAAATAAGCTTAGCTTAGGTAATGGAGTCTTCGTTGATAACTGTACAATAAAATAAGTACACCCCATATCAATGCTTGTATGACCAATGCAATATTGTGGTAATAGTGCCGTACAATGTGAAGCATGCCCTATTAATGTTCAAATTTGTGTTTTCTGTCAATCTAGCACAATGTATGCATACTTACGCTCGTAAATAGTATCATATTTTAAATATTAACCTATAAAGTTGTTAGCTCAGGCTTCCGCGGCCATAGCTAATACAGTATTTGAGCATACGGAATCGACAGACAGGTATTATAATTGGTGAAGATAGTAAAAATAAACTGAACTCATGCTTCCGCGGCCGCATGTTCACCACAGCTATTACAGTATTTGAGCACACGTACGCGTAAAAAAATCGACAGACAGATATCATAATTGGCGAAGATAATAACAATAAACTGAACGCAGGCTTCCGCGGCCACAGTTTATACAGTATTTGAGCACAAGCACTCGTAGAAGAATCGACAGACAGATATTATAATTGACGAAGATAATAACAATAAACTGAACTCAGGTTTTCGCGGCCACAGCTGATACAGTATTTGAGCACACGCACGCGTAAAAGAATCGACAGACAGATATTATAATTGGCGAAGATAATAATAATTAACTGAACATGTATAAATCAGATACCGAGCATATCGATGATCGATACAGATAGTCAGATACGCTGATGTGGTGCCTACAGCAGGTCAACAGCATCGCGATGATAGAAATGATCTCACCAGTGTGCACTGTCGTCCACTGGTTTGACGCTCTGACGTCTGTGCACCATACCGGCATACCCATTGTTTGCCTGCGAAAGCAGAAAACAAAGGGCCAATAGGGATCAATACGTGATAAAAATTATTTTCAATTTTGAATTTTCTTAAAGTAAAAATAATACACAGCAGCAGCGAAGCAACAAGCACGGTTCGACTCATAATTTTAAATTTACCAAGTTTGGGTGATTGACTGATTGCCTGATTGGCCATCGGGTCGCCTTAATTTGAAAAATAGCCAGCTACTGCTATTGCTGCCTCACTGCTTGCTGGGGGACAGCAAAAATGTTACCCAAGCAACTGAAATAAGCACCAATAACTATTCTTCCCATAACTTCAAGCGCCAATCCGATAATACTTTACACCATCTGTTCATTTTGGCTATTATCTATTATCAATTTGTCATAAACCGTGAATATATTTTATATATACATATATGCACGGCCCTCTGAATAGAGTCTCTGCTAGATTCACGATTTACGCTACGACGGAACCTGATTTCTGCTCGCGACCCTAATCCAGAGGCCCGTGATATATGTGGATAGGATATTTCCGAGGGGTAAACCAAAGCCTAATATTCTAAATAGTAGTATATAATGAAGAAAAAAAGTTCATAAATGAAATCACTCATACAATAGCGAAACAATTTCAACTAGCATGAACTCTACTATGCAGTACTTCTTAGTCCTCGCGGCCTTTGTCGCAGTGGTACTAGCAGCGCAAAAATCAATTGTGAACAGACAAAATCGGATGCGTATTAACAGAGCCATTAGACGGGTTTTTTCTCCAATCGACACGGCCGTAACATACGAAACTGTTACTCTTATCGAGATTAAAGTTGACAATGTCACCCAAGGCACAGGTGGCAGAGATCTCCAGGCAGAATTTGTTCGTAAAGTACGGGACCATACAATCGTAGATTTCGGCCATGACAACGGCATTCCCAGCACTGAATATCTGGATAGGATCGGCGACGGTTCCCAAGGCACTGATTTTTTGAATGGCAGTAAACTCCCAGTAAAGATTGGCGACACAGGACCTATCCGTACAGTCGAAGATGCTCCCGCTAGTAACAGTTTCAGCAGCAGAGGTGACAAGAAAAGAGATTTGAAGGCGAGTGATGCTCAGACCGAAACTGAGTATCATTCTGTCGTAAAATTTGGCCCCCGAGAGGATTCAATTAGAGAGTTTTTGCTCAGGATCGGCGACGCTTCTCGAGGCACTGATCGTGTGAATGACATTAAATTCCCCAAGAGAATTGGCGACACAGTACCCATTCATACGGTCACAGATGTTCCTACTAATGACAGTTTCATCAGTAGAAGCGACAAGAAAAGTGATGCCAATTTTGCTGATCTTGAAGAGTTCAATGCAAACTCTTCGCTGGATTCGGAAGAAATTAAGGACGAATGGAATGTCCGGAAGTCGAAGGGCTTTGTTGTCGCCGGTGTAGACACACTAGGGTCGTTTGAAGCTTTCTTATCTCTGGAGGAAGAATCTGAAGAAATGTGCGAAGAAGAAGCCGCAAAACAATACCACCAGCGGTACATCATGTAGACATTTCGAGATGGGGTTTGGGGATCTCTTTCGACTTCCTCTATGGATGGAGTGGCTTGACTGTGCCCGAGTTACGGATACAAAGCATTCTATAAGCGACACACACAGACACACATACACACACACACATACACTCACACACTCACACACACACGCACACACGCACACACGCACGCACACACACACAAACACAAACGCACACACACACGCGCACACACATGAACACACACACACACACGCGCGCGCACCCCTACACACACACACACACACGCACGCACACACACACACACACACACACACACCACCCACCACACACACACACACTACACACACACACACACACA